TGTGCTGGCACGGCACAAGTGTGTGGCCTAGTCCGTGCTGCTGAGGCCTATGGATACCCCCCCTATTACCGCCTCGCCCCCTTGCCAGCAGCCCCCACCACTCCCCAGGCGGGATGAGACCCAAGGGCGTGGGGTCCCCCAGCAGAACATCAGGTTTCGGTCACTGTCGGAGGGAAGATGCTGGATGCTCACTGGACCAGAGGTTTGCCTGGACGGGAGGGGGGGGGCAGGAGATGGGACGCGGCGCTCTCTGATCAGTGTGTCGGTGTCTGGGTTACTCACCCACAGATGCACTGAGGACAGCGGCAGCTCTCCCTCAGAGCCACTGAGGACAGCGGCAGCTCCGGAATTATCCCAAGATACAACTGTGAGACACAACCCAACCCGTTCCCCTGCCTGGCCTGTACGCACAGGTTTGTTATTGTAGGGCTGCATGCAGCGCTGGCCTTACCATGAGGCAAACTGAGGCGGCCGCCTCAGGTGCCAGACTGTGGGGGGGCGCCACTAGGACCCAGAGTGTAGAAAATTGTGTTTGCTGCTGGTGCAGATGTATTCTCTCTGCTCTAGATGCACAGAGATGGGTGAGTGCTGTGCTGGAGGAAGGAGGGCACAAGAGACACAACAGGCAGGCAGGAGAAAAGGTGGCCTGGGGGCATCATTTGAGCTCCCCGCCTCGGGTGCCAAAATGTTGTTGGCCGGCCTTGGCTGCCCACGGTGAGAAAGGGCCGTACATGGCGAGAAAGGGACGTACATGGCGAGAAAGGGCTGTACGTGGTGACAAAGGGCCGTACGTGGCGAGAAAAGGCCGTACGTGGCGAGAAAAGGCCGTACACGGTGAGAAAGGGCCGTACGTGGCGAGAAAGGGCCGTACGTGGCGAGAAAGGGCCGTACACGGCGAGAAAGGGCCGTACGTGGCGACAAAGGGCCGTACGTGGTGAGAAAGGGCCGTACGCGGCGACAAAGGGCCGTATGCGGCGAGAAAGGGCCGTACGCGGCGAGAAAGGGCCGTACGCGGCGAGAAAGGGGCGTACGTGGCGG